GGGATGGAACCCAGGGCCTCTCATGCCAGAGGAGCCCCCCCCACCCCATCACCACCACCACCACCACCACCACCACCACCACCACCACCACCACCACCGAGCCACACCCCAGCCCTTGGCTGTTCCTTTTGAAATTAAAAATGAACTTATCTCATGACCCAACAATTATATGCATGGGCACATCCCACAGAAAGGAAAGCTTATTTTCATGCAGAGGCTAGTACACAAGGCTCAGCAGCTTCTTTGGAATGGCCCCAATTTAGGACCACCCAGATATCCCCCAAAGGGTTAAGCAGTTAAACAGCGTGCTACATACACACTGCGGAGTATTACTTGGCAACGAAAAAGACTGGCGACACAAGGCACCACTTGGGTGATCCTCAAGGAAATGGCGCTGTCAGCTAACAGCCGCTCTCAGTTGGTAGGCGCTTCCCAGCAGCCCTTGCTGCCAGGCACTGGGCTTTTGTTAACGAAACGCAGAGGAACTGTTGCCTGCCGGGATGGGGTCTGACACTCAAAATGCTGGCATATGATCCCTGTGTGCCTTTCCCTTTCTGCAAACTGGGAATGTGTCAGTTATGGGTCAGACATGAGGTGCTCCTCAGAGACTCATGGGAGACAATCAAGAAGGGCTAGAGGTGACATGATTGGGTTAAGGGAGCCTAATGGGGGACTGATCCATTAGTATGGACCAACTGGATGGTAACTGTCGGCAGGTAGGGTGTGGCTGGAGGACGGTGTCACTGGGGCTGTGCCTTTGGGGCTCGTATTTTGTCCCTGGTGAGCTCTCTCGGCTCTCGGTCGGCCCGACTGCCTGCCTCCGCCACAACCTTCCGCCAGGTGTGGCCTCACCTCAGCCAGAGCCGCGGAGCCGACCTTCTAAGGACTGAGGCCTCCAAAACCCTGAGTGCCAAGTAAACTTATCCTCTTCTAACACCGTTCTTGTGGGGTCTTTTGGTCACAGCATTGAAAAGGCTGACTAAAACAGTGACAACTGCCACCATGCAGACCACGTCCTAAGAGAGAGCCCAGGAACCCTGAGTGACACGGAGTGGAACTGTCCGCGCTGCTTGGAGCGCTTCTCTTCTCTTCCGGGATAGGGGGCGGAAGCCAGAGTCTCGTGTCGCTAGGCAAGCTGAGCTCTGTCCCCACCCTGGAGGTGAAGGGGAGACAGTGTCTGTGGCCTCTGAGCCACCGTAGCTGTGGCCTGTGACACAGCAGCTTGGCCTTTGCTCAGGGGCAAGGCAGGTTTCAGAAGAGCATGTGCATGACCTCCTTTTCTGCCACACACACAGGCCTGGAAAGATGCGCCCCAGGGCTCTAGCGCTCACCTACCATGTGGGGGTCACAGGTATTGTTTTCTTCGCTTTTTCACGGTACCTGATTTTCTATAAAAGGAACACATGGATTCCTTTTGTAATTAAGGAAGCAAGACCATGACTGAGACAGAGCCAAGGACACGTGAGTGACGTGTTGGCAACAAGCCATCCCAGCCTGGGGTGCCTCCTCCCCTCCTCTCCACCCCACCTACCTGTGCCAGGTCACTCCCTGCGCCTTGTCCTCGCCTTCCTGAAGGACGGTCCATGGTCTTTACCAAGCCGGCAGGGGCAGGCCTGCCTGCTCCCTGGGCACCACACTCCAGCGCATGCTGCCCTGGGGGACAGCCAGTCTGGCTGGAATTTCAAACTCAATTAGCACAGAGAGGCCGGAGCTTTCTGGAGTAACTAATCATCTCCAAGCTGCCAAGACGGTGCTCTCCCTGGGATGTGCTCGTGAACTTTAAGGTTGAGCTCTTCAGGTACTAATGATAGGGAACAGCCGCTCCCAACTTAAAATTCAACTGGAAAGCGAGTTTCTGAGATCCTTTCCTCTATTTGGGGACACAGGGAGGGCTGGTGGAGACTGGGGCAGGGCCTGCCCGTTCTAGCGCCTGAAGCCCAGTCAGTCCCTGGGCACAAGGACGGCTTGTGCAGCCCCTCCCTTCTGGCTGTCTTCCTCATGCACCGTGTGGCCTTGACCATGCTCCACACGCAGAACAGCCCAGCAGGCCGCTGCACTGGGAGTGGACAGGCGCGGGGAGCTGGCCCGCCCTTGCTGCCAGCCCGCCCTTGCTGCCAGCCCACAGCCACCAGTCAGCGTGCCTCTCCCTGGTCTAATGGCTGGACGGACGATGCCTCCTGGATGGTGGGCAGGGGTTCTGGATCTTCTGAGAATCCTGGTGGCTGAAGCTGTCCTTCTCTCGATGGGGATGACCTTAAAAGGTTCTCGATTTAGCATCAGGCCCACTCTCTGACACTCCGAATGCAATGGCGAGTTTGTGCATAAACACTGAAAGATCATCATTTCATGCCGCCCGTGGTGTGAAGTGTGAAAACATCACTCGATACCAAAAGGCCGATTCCTAACTTAGTTCAGGGAGAGTCTGGACGACCTTTCACAGGCAGCGTGTTCTGTTCCGTCAGCTCCTGACGGGTGCCTGGGCCACTCATGGCACCCCAGACAGCAGAAAGCACGGGCGAAGCAGCGCTGTCCGGGGAAGCCTCGCTGCAGAGGAGTCCTGACCACACTTGGGGCTCACACCCGGCATGGCAGGGCTGGTCGCTCTGATGGAGAGGACATGCGGGTAGGTGACACGTGTGAAGCACCTGGCAGAGTAGATGCTGAGCCGTAGGGTCATAATTAAGTCACTCTTGAGTACCTTGTAGACCTGGCCTAGAGGTCCCCTTGGACAGTCCAGATCATGTTCTGGCTCTGTCACCACAGCACCCATGGTGGACCTGTTCCTTTCAGCGAGAGGAACTCAGTGACTGTCCGCACGGCAGGAGCCTCCCGGCCTCCCTCACAGCCCACCCTCTTGGAACTGTTCCCAGCACCCTTTCAGGTGCAGTCTGTCCTGTTTCCATGGCTGACACACAAAGCAGACATGTCCGTCTCTGTGAGCACAAGCAGGCAGGCTTGCCCAGCCTGGATCTCGAGCACACTGCCTTGGAGACTCTCTCAGGACCGAGCAATGGGAATAGAAGAGACAGAAAGGCCTCGAAGGTTAAATGGTCTGACCCGTGTCCCCAGCCCCCTTTTAAGTGAGGGAATGTCAAAAATATAGCAAGGGGTTGGGGATGTGGCTCAAGCGGTAACACGCTCGCCTGGCATGCGCGGGGCACTGGGTTCGATCCTTAGCACCACATAAGATAAAATAAAGATGTTGTGTCCACCGAAAACTGAAAAATAAATATTAAAAAATTCTCTCTCTCTCTTTATAAAAAAAAAAAAAATATATATATATATATATAGCAAAACAGCAGAGCAGGCGTTGCCCGGGTCTCCACTACCCGGCCTCCATTGTGACCAACTCTCATCCTCCGTCTAAGGCCTCTCCTCCCTCCCAGCACCGGGGATCAACCCTTTGCCTCACAGGAGGCCAGAGGAAGCGGCTCACCCCAGCTCTGCCACTGGAGGAGAGGACAGGACCTGTCTCTCTCCGTGCTGCTGTAATGGTCAACCCTTTGCACCTCTGTACTCCTGCCCCAGGACCCTTCCTAGTGCTCCTGTGGACGGCAGTCAGGTACGGAGGATAGGGCCAAGGCGCCGGCTCCTGGGTGCACACATGAACTAGCCCTCTGAGGCTATTTACTGGCCCATCACCTGTGCAGAAGACGGGGACAAGAGGGAGTCCGAGAGCATTTGGCGCCCAGGGGACCGACCGCCCAGACAGCTGCGGTTGGAAGCTGGACATCTGATGGCTCAGATGCGAGTCGGCATCCACGGCTTCACTGACCTCAGGTTCTTTTGGGTTCCAGCACCTCTGAGGCTGGTAGTCCCCAGGGACTTGCCTCCCCTGCGTGTGGCCGGAGTGGGTGGTGCGTGGCCAGCGTCATCCCATGTGCATACTTGGGGTCTTTGAAGACACGAGCACCAGGAAACAGCGCTAGCGCACCTGATGCCCTCACTCTGGGTTTTCTTGCAAACCAACAATCGAGAGTCTCTGGAGGGCTGGGCTGGGGCTCAGTGGCAGAGCACTCGCCTAGCACCCCATAAAAATAAATAAATAAAGTTAAATAAAGGTATTGTGTCCAACAGCTAAAAAATATTAAAAAAAAAAAAAAAAAAAAGAGTCTCAGGAGACCAATGAAAGGAGGATCCAGGGAGCTGACAAACTGTGCTATGGTCTGTGACTGGGAGGGGGTGGCCGGTACCGGGCAGGAGAGATGGCCTCCCTGGGAACACAGGAAAGCCATTTCAAAGCAACCACAGGCTGGTGTGATGGCTCATGTGCCACACAGGGTCACCACTGAGGCCTGGCAGTAGCTTAATTGGCAGCGTATTTTCTTGGAGGCTCATAAAACAATGGCACATCTAATGGGTGTTGGCATCTTAAATCTGGTGAACAGTGGCATTCAGTGGGGGCTGCCTGCTGCGGGTGTCCTGCTTGTCACTGCTGCTTCTCAGGCTGCCCGGTGCTGCCTGGCCCTGGAGCCTCTGCCTAGGAGGTCCGGGGCAGGCTGCCCAGGGCCAGGTGTCCCCACCACTGAAGCCCCCGACTCTGCCTGCCAGCCTGGTGGGGACAGGCAGGACCTAGGAGGAGCCAGGACCTTCTTTGGTCGGCTCAGACGGCAGTGCCTCCGGATGTCACTCCCTGGGAAACGTCCTCTCCTCAAGTCCTTGGCCAGGGCAGAGATTGCCACAGAAATGGATGATGGCTTCACGAGTTGGTGTCCAGAAACTGGATGGACCTGTAGTAATGCCTGGGGCAGAGCCAGGCCGACAGTGGCGCCCACCCTGGGAACCTGTGGGACTGGTTTAAGGGGAAGAGACACCTCCTGCTGTCTTTCTCAAAGGGAACCATCATTTTTCAAGCCACCAAGGTGGCTTTGAAAGGGAGCATTACCCAGGCTGGCCTCCCTGCAGGGAGAAGCGGGAGGTACCCCCAGAGAGCCGCGTCCACACACCCGCTCCTGTTCACTGAGCCAGCGTGGAAGGCGCTGTAAGGAGGAGACGAGGCCTTGCCTGGGTACAAAAGGTTTATTGCTTATAAAAATAACTTAGCAAGCACAAAACAAAGTCCCCCGTGTGACAGGGCTCATTCAGTCACCTTCAGCAAACTGGGGGACTCACCCGCATTGCCAGCGAATACCAAGTCTAGGCTGGGCGACCTCCCCCGGTGGTGCTCCTAGAAGGTCCTTCATGACAGCCAGAGCTGGACAGAGAGTGGGCAGCAAGGGGTCAGGGCCAGTGTCACTCAGGGCTGCCTGGGTGGGTGGGGTCACTGCCGGCAGGTGTCATGGAAGGCTTCCAGTGTTCGGAAGTCCCTCCACGTGGGGGGCAGGCCATCCTGCAGGAACTTCCCGCAGCGCTGACATGGGGCCTGGAACAGCTTTATGTAGCTTCTTAACCAGGTCTGAAAAGAGAAGGGAGGACAAATGCAACGGCCCTGGTGCTTCCCAATACCCTCCCATCAAGCCTAGTGGCCCCAAGGACAGAGCCCTGGAGCTGGCTTTGGCCCCAGAGAGAAGCTGCTGAGCCCACAAGGCTGTCTCGAGGGACTTTGGGTTCTGAAGCCCCCCTCCCCGCCAACCCCGAGTTATCAGCACAGAGAGGGCAACTCTCCCTGGCAGGGAGGCCCTGGGGCAGCACCAACCACGCTGCACGGAGCCTGGCAAGGACCCTCTTCTGGCCTGCTGCCAGGTAGGGGGCATGGCCACGTGCCAAGGGAGTCTAGGAATAGCTGACGGCTGGAGAATTCTGCATGGAGGGCACAGCGCCTTCTAATCTGATTTCTGAGGTCACCGCTCACTGTCAGGATATGGCCTAACACTCTGGGAAGGGGTAAGTGGAGACAGCCCCAGTGCCACCAAATCACACAATAAGCAGCAAATACACACTTTAATTCAGAGAGCAGAGAGCTTTCGGGCATCATCTATAAGGATGAGATGCACATAACTCAATTCTCAAACTCAAGGAGATTTGCTACCAAGAAACCCCACCCAAACAAAGCAAAGAAGCCAAACACCCAACAGATCCAAACGCACGACAACTGAGCCAGTTCTCACTGTGCAGGGGTGCAAGACTCTCATCAATTAACATTCTCCTGAATTATGTCGACAAGAGAAAACGGCTATCTGAAGAGGTCAGCTGAGTTACATGAATCCCCTGCTTCAGCTGGGCGGTCCTCGAGATGGCAGAGTGCGGCCCATCCATGCCACCTCCGTCAGCAGGGTGGCCTGGGGGTTTCTACAGCAAGTCACGAGGAGGTCACCGGATCAGTCAGGTACACTGCTTATCCTCTGGTGCCAAGCACGTTTGCATCCTTCCCAGATCCCCAAGTCAGAGCTGAAGGGAACGGACGACCCAGAATGTGAGACTAAAGCAGGCCTCCCTCTACCGGGTGGCTGCTGGCTGCCTGCCCTCTTGCATGTGGAGGAAGCCTTCATGGACTGCTCCTTGTTTGCCCTCCTAACATTAGGAAGCCAAGCGATGAGCTGGGCTTATCTTCTGAGCAGTGCGTGACAGGCTTTCTAGGAAGCCCACTGGTGGAGGCCCACGTGACAGGATGGATGGGACCAGAGACACCCACCTGGCTGTCAACAGTGATTTGCACTCACTAAAGGGAAGTCTGAGGGGGTTTCTACCAGGCAGCCTTTCCAGCAGAAGACAAAAGGCAGTTCTGTGGGCAGTGAAAGATGGAGCCTAGTGACCCAGCGTATTCGGCCAAGTCTGTGCGAGGCGAAAGAGCTGGCAGGGTCTGCCTTGGACATACAACGCAATGTCACCCCTGGTCAGGCCAATGCCAGGGAAAGGTCCTGACTGTGGTCTCTGCCCAGAGCTGCGGTGTGAGTACTCCCACTGGGTTCCATTTCAAGCCAGAAGAGTTTGACTAGGCACTGCAAACCTCTGAACACCCCTCAAGAGCTGCCAGGCTGCCTGGGGCTGCCCTCACTGCTAGCTGCTCTGAAATCCGAGAACGAACTGTATTGGGTGCAGCCAGCCGAGACTCACCACTGCAAGCCTGGGGCCAGGCACAGGACCTGGGTGGGGCAGGTCAAGAGCCATGTGAGAAACTTTTAGAGGATCCTTCTGCAACCACCTGTCCAGCCACGACAGGGAGCCCGCGGTGCCACCTCCCACCCGGCTCCCATGGCAGCCCACGGGCCGAGGGTGCAGCTTCCCCCCTCAGCTGCGTGTGCACACTCCAAGGCTCCTGAAGCCACTTACCATGAAGGACCTGACCACAACGTCTGGCATCTGGGGCAGCTGGTAGTGGAGCAGGGCAGTGGTGGCATGGTCTGTCACCTGAAAATGAAGGACAGTGGCTGGAGTCAGCAGTCAGAGATGGCCAGCGGGATGGACGCCTCCTTTTATAGGCACCAGCCCTGCTTTTGGATGTCTCTCAGAGAAAAGGACATCTGAAATAAAATCTTGAGTAGGAAAATTAGGTAGCAGAGTTGGGGGCAGAGAGGGGAGGAGGTGTGTGTAGGCAGAAAGGACAGTCCCGGAGGGAAGCGGAGTACGGAACGGCCCTCCACAGAAAACCCGGACAGGCTGGAGCGCTAGGGGTGGGAAGGCAGTGGCCTGAGGCCAGTGGGGAGAAGGCAGGGCAGACCAGAGGGCGGACAGGCCTCCCTGCTCCCGACACGAGGATGCAGGCAAGGAGCCTGGCGGCCATGCTGGGACCATTCTCCCAGCAGCACGCAGGGTCTCCTCTTGCTCCCTTAGATTCTCCCTGTCTCCTAACTTGTAGCCACGTGGGCCTGGTGGTCAGGGAACTGCTGATTTCTGAGGACCCTTCCTCAGGCCTCATGGTGGCTACCTTCCCAGGTGTCTCCAGCACTTTGTGGGCCACACCCACATCTCCACTCCATGGGCCAGGAAACTGCCATAGCAGTTTCATGACCAGTGGACAGGGCACTGCTTCCTGACCTTGACTTAGCTATTCATCCTTTCTGCCACTCAGTCCTTTCCAAAAGACAAAGGGTCTGGTCTGCGATTCTCTGCAGGTCTGAAATGTGATGACAACATGAATCGCTAATGCCTGCTATCCATCAGCAAATTAATAGATTCTACTAATTTGATAGTTGTGTTCAAACTAATGGTTTATTTGATTGTCCTCATTAGGGATTCTTGGCATTATAAATGTTGTGGTTAAAACAAAACAAAACACAAGAAAACAAGAAACTCTAGACAAAAATCTTTGAATTTGAGAACAAAAATAAACACAGGTCCAAGGGTTCATTACCAGCTGGCCTGAGCAGTAGTCGCGCACACCAGCAGGGGGCGCCAGGAACACTGTGCTGACCCCACTCAGTGGGCTGTGTGTGAGCCTGACACTGGTCCCCACACCCGTCAGAGAGGCTTCACCACTAGGTATGGGGACAGCCTCCACAGCTGGGCTTTCCAGGGCCCAGTCTTCAGCCTCGTGTGAACATAACCTCAGCTTCCCCAGGATAAAATGGGTGTGCAAGTGACACCCTCCAGTAGGCCCAGGAGGCTGGGAGGAGTGGCATGGGAGGGGCTCCTCCTGCCCAGCCGTGCCAACAGCCCCACCGGCTCTCCGGCCAACTGGCCTGCGCCTGCCTCTTTCCCACCAGACTTTCCAGGGCAGCCTGGTAGCTGGTGAGCCCCGCTACGTGATCAGCTCTGTGAGCAGGAATCACCTGGTTCATGCTGCGACTATCAGGCCTGGAATATCACCAGGCAAACAGCAGGTGCTCAATACACATGTGTTGAGAAAAAAATGCCCACTGCCATAAACGTGGGGCTGGCTTTCCTGCAAAGGCAGCCGCAGCTCGTGTCCCGTGCTGTTGGGGAATTCTCACTTTCCAGCTGGGTGGAGCTTTCTCCCCCAAGGGCCAAGCCTGCTTTATTTTAAGCATTTTGACAGACAGCTTTCTAAAATGAGCAATGCTTTTTTTCTTTTTCTTTTTTTTTTTTTAACAGTCGCAATGATAACCTTGTAAAATGACTGGTGGTGGCAGTCGGGTGAGGGGAAGAGCCGCATGAAGCTCGGCAAACAAGGCCCGTGGGCTTGAACCTGGGCTTCGTTCTTGCCCATCCAGCTCCCTGGCTAAGAAAGCCCACGAAGTACCCTGTGAGGTCCACGGACGTTCCCTGTACCTGCGTGTGCTGTCACAGAAAGGAACAGGGTTCCTGGAAGCTCTCTCCTGGCCTCCCCAGGGGTTTTCCAAGGCCCTGGCTGCAGCCTGCTCTAGTGTGCAGCGAGCCAGGCTGGGGTGCTCTGGGCAAGGCTCCTTTCCCACCCAGGGCACTGTCCACTTGCACCAACTCTGGGTGGCCCCCCGGGAGGGCACAGGGTTTGCTATACCCACAGCTGGAGCTGATGACCCAGAGGCACGGTGAAGGCAGGAAGCTTTGCTCAGCTGGGCTTCTTTCTTTTCACAGTTTTAACACAAATGATCAACATTTAGAATCTGCGAGCTTCACTTAACTGCCCCCCCCCACCCCTGCTTCTCTGAAGGTCTGGGATCTTGGGCAGCCTCACAGGTCAGTGTGGCCACGTGAGGTGCTCCACACAAGTCCAGCCCTGGCCTGGCCTCACTCTGCCCTACCCTGTGCAGGTGTCCACCCTCAGCGGGATTGGGGTGGTCTCTGGATGGAGCCCCGTACCTTCATCCAATGCCCCCAGGGTCTCACTTCTGCCTGCTTCTTTCAGCATGGGGCCACTTGGCCTGTGGTCTTTGGAATCTGGGGCCTCGACTCAAATGCCAACAAGAGCATGGCCCCAAGATGCCCTAACCCAGCCCTGCCCAGCCCTGCTGTCCCTGCGCCTCCCGCCTGGCTTCCCAAGTTCCGCTTGAGTGCATCTTCCCTGGGGTATAGACCTGTGTCCACTTCCTTTTCCTTTCCTCAGCTCACCTCTTACCTTGACCTTTCCAGCTGAACTTGAGCTGTCCAAGCCATCCATGAGATGAACCTAGTTTTGATCACCTCTAGGTGCTGTCCCCAGGCCAGGCTTGGTGCTCATCGTAGGGCCATCTCAAGCACTTTACAGACCTGCTCCCAGTGGCCTTGCTAAATGACCAGAGCCAAGGCTGTCCCTGGGGCCTCTTCCTACCACCACTCTCAGCAGCCTCAGAGCCCCCAGGTACACATCTTGTTCCTCCTGTGTCCTCTCCCCTGTTGCCACTGCACAGCCTAGGCTGCGTCTTTCCTATCAGGGTGACCAGAAGATCCCGAGGGCTCTTTCCAGTCCTTTCTCAGCAGCAAGCGCTGGGAGAAAGGGTGTGGGCTTGGGGCATGGACCCTGGTCCTGCCTCTTCAGAAGGCCATGTGGGTATGCAATGTCCTCTCATTTAGTGGTGGCTCCCCCTCCAGGAAAGTGGAGAGGCTGGGGCCAGCGTGAGGACCAGCACACGATGCGCAGGTGCTCGCCATCCAGCAGACATATGGTCACCCTCACACCACAACTGTCCCTGCCTCCCAGGGAACAGGAGGCCAAGGCTCCCTGACCCTGGAGCCCTGGTCCTGCTCCTGTACTTCTACCCTCGGGTCCCTGCCCACCCGCCTTGCCAGCCTCCCCTCCTGTCTAGCTCCTATTTCTTCACATCAGAACCCACAGAACTGGCTTTTTGTTAGAGATTTTGGTTAGCATCAGTTCCCCTAACTTGACTGAACTCTGCCAAGTCCCCAACAAGAAGGTCTCAGAAGAGGTGGGTGAGCAAGGGCCTGACAAGGGTGGGGATGAAGGATGAGGGCAGTTGAGGCTTCCCTTTCCTGGCACGTGGGGACACTTTCCGGCTGCCCTTGCCACAAGGTTGGGCCACGTGGACAGTTCTAGTCAAGGCATCAGGAAGAGGAAGTGTGCATGCTACTTCTGCCTGGAGGCTGCGAAGGGCAAGCATGGGTTCTTCATGCCAGTTCTCCACGACAGTGTCACCAGATGCGGCAGGCCGCCTGCTGGCTGGGTGGCATGTGGCTTTCCTCCAGGCAGGCACTCTCGCCCCGAGAGAAAGCCCTCTGGAGCCTCGCCTCTTGTCTGGGGGATGAGCTGTGGCCAAGCAGCCCCCTGTGCAAGGTATTGCTCAGAATGTGGTACTTGGAGCGGGCAGGCTGGGTCACCTAGGAACGTGTTTGAAATATGCCCAAGAGCAGAAGCCTTCTCAGGCTTCTCAGAAGTAGTGAGCCTCGGGGATTCTTACTAGGGACGCTGCGCGCACAAGAACAGCAAGAGACACACAGTATCTGGGGTCCTGCCAGCAAGCGGGGTTCATGAAGGAGGCTGCGAATGGCTGAGGCCTGGCATTTCCAACTGCCTTCAGGCGACACCCAGGCTGCTGGCTAAGGCCTGGCTTCGAGAGGCCAGGCTGGAGCACATCCTGGGTCCTACTGGAAAATGGCTTCAAAGGAAGAGGCATTGGATTCTGGGACACAAAGAAGTTCCAAAGCAAGACAGTTTCTTTCTGAAGAATGGAAGTGAACAGGATCCCTCCAACCTCACAGTGGGTGCTGTGGAGTGTTAGTGACAAGATCTTGCATCCGAGTGGCCAGGTTTTCCTTATTTCTGGAAGGTGCATTTTAGGATCACAGGATAGTCTATCAACTGACAAGAGCTACTCAGAATGAGAGCTTATAGGTACCAAGCTCTATCTGCCCCTAAAGTAACTCTTACAAGAATAGAGGGGGTGTAATTTTCCCCCCGGGATATTGGGATGGACCCAGGGGTGCTCGACCACTGAGCTACACTTTAGTTCTTTTTATTATTTAAAAAAATTTTTTTCAAGATGAGGTCTGACTAAATTGCCAAGGTTGCCTCAAACTTGCGATCCTCCAGCCTCAGCCTTTGAGTAGCTGGGATCACGGGTGTGGCTCTGTAAGTCTTAGAGATCACGGAGGTTGGAAGATGTCCAGAGGTACCCAGTTGGCAAGGGGCAGTTGGCATTTGCACACAGATCCTGCAAGACCTGAGCCCCACCCCTCCCATCTCCCACTACAGGCTGGTGCCTAGCAGCATCTCACCGTGTCCCAGTGAGGTCTCTGGAAAGCCTGAGTTACATGCAAGGTGCAGGCTGATATGCACAGGTGGCAGCTGTGCAGCAGGCTGCCCAAGAGCAGAACGAGCTGAGTGACCAGGGACACCCCCTCTAGGTACAGCCGGAGCTGCGTACTAAGGCTGTTTTGGCATCTGACTCCTGGGAGGGCATCCAACTGGTCTTTCTCTTACTGTTTGGCATTCTGGTCAAATCCAGTCTCCTTTTCAAAAGGCCTAGTATACAGTATTATCTTTTCTTGCCAAATGGTGGCAGTTTTTTTTTTTTTTCTAACAATGATGCATTTAG